TCATTAATAGATGTCCATCTGTAATTCCATTATACAACAAGTGCAGGGGAAACTTCATTTAATGTGGAAAGATTCTCATTTTTCCAGAGCTGTAATGCAGTGTGCAGTTAAAATTAGGCTGTCTTGTTAATTGTCAGAGTACATGGTGAGAGTTACCGCAGGCAGCTTCAGTGCAGGATCAGGTGTGCCTCTGCAGGGGAGACTTGCAGAAAGGCCCCAGGTGGGAGAGCAGCTCCATCAGGGAACCTCGATGGAATCTCTCCCCGAGGAGAGGGGTGCCCGTGGGGAGGGGAAAGCGTGTGGGGCGGCTCTCCTCCTTCCTCTCTTGATCTGCTCACCCCTGTCGGGACCCCCCAGACCACTGTCCCCAGAGCGCTCCCGTGCGAAGTGTGTCCCGCGGCAGGCAGATGCAGAATAAGCTCCCCTTGTGAAGGGTGATGAATACCTGTTCCCACTCTCATTTCCCCAGTTCCTGAGCTCGGCTCTGCTGGGCCAGGGTAAAGGATGAGCAGAAACCACCCCAGCCTCTAAGCCTCGAGACAGTATGATTATTCAGGAACTAGGATCCCGTAAGCCTTCTCATACTGATGGGATGTAGGTTTCTATAGAGAAAAATCAGTTTAAATGAACACAGGAAGGTTGAAATGCTCTTGAATGTACAAAAGAAAGATGGAAGAAATCCCTGGGGAATACCTTTTTCTCATCTCTTCCCCACTATCCTTTTTCCCATCTCTTTCTCAGTGTTGGAAACTTGTCCTTCAAAAATCACCCACTGAGGAGAGCAGATCCTTCTGCTGGATGTGAAGGGAGGACAGGAGGGAAGAGTGAGTGAGGGTTTTGCCATAAACCTTTCCTCTTCCAGATCAGAGCAGTATAGCATATGCCAGGGTGGCAAGTCAAGCTGTTGAGGACTTTACATAGGACCCCAACCAGCTTTTATTCAAAAACAGTAAAAATGTTTATTGGTAAGGACTACTAAAAGCTTTCCTGAGGCTTCACCAATGAAGCTTAACTGTCCAACTTGAATGTGAGCAGTAGCGCGGAATCTCAGCTGAAAGCTCCTGGTTCCCAAGCACTGACGAACCTAACGCCTGTGAACTAACTCAAACACAGCCTTATCCTGCTGGGGAGGAGGAGAAGGAAGGGGGCAAAGACGCTGGGCACCTGCAGACCAGGCTCCCCAGGACGTCACTGGGAGCTGCGCTAGCATAAGAACAGCATGACCAGACATCAATATAAAGGAGAGAGGATGCTAAGAAAATATTTTTCACACGTTTGTGTACTGAGGGGCCTGTGAAGTCTATTGAGTGCAGAAGGCAGGAACTCTATTACAACAGAACTCTCAGATATGCTGCTTTAGTGTATCTGTAGCTTTCTGTGTGACTCTTCGTGTATTTCCCCCTTTGCGGCTACTTATGAAAAATAAGTTTACAAAGTTGCCTGACCATACAAAAAAGACAGTTCTAATAAACATCTCACCAATTTAGCTGGACAGTATCCATTGATGTGCCGTGATATTTAGCTGCCTGATCAGATGCTTTTGAAAATCCACCTGCATGCCTGTCTGTCTGCATCTGCACCCAGTACCTCTGTAAATTTGATCTTTTCCATTGCCTTACCTGTTAGTCTCTTCAGACCCCCAGGTACCAGACTTTGCCTTTGTTATCCAGATGTGGATGCTTTAAATTATGGAGAAGTGCGACACCCGTTTATGTTATTAAGGTAGGTGTCTAAGGCAAGCTATGATTTGAAACAAGCTACCTTTTCTTATTACAGATTTAGACGACAATGCATTTTTTTAAAGTATTTCATCTTTTTAGAAGTAACTACCTTATTTAAGACATTAATATTTAGAAAACTAGAATTTAAACTCAGCCACTGTTGTTTTAACAAGAAACTGTTGACTATGTTGCACCTAATGACAAGCGCTTAGTGACTGGGAGCTTATGCTTTATCAAAGTGAGTTTAGAAACAGACAACATTAGCGGAGTTAGCTGATTTTTGCCTGACACACACAAATGCTCTTCCAGTTTCCCCGGCCATCTACAATGAGAACAGATATAATTTGGTATGAGTTACGTGCTGGTGAAGCAAAACAGTCAAGTGTACTTGCATTTGTAAGCACTGTCCATCAAAATGCTCCAGGAATGGCTAGATTTGAGTAAATGCTGAGCTTTCCGTAGCCAGTTCCTAAACATTCACTGAATTAGAGAACCTCCAGAGCAACCTTGCTTTATTCAGATATGCAGGTTTTCATTTAATCTTAATATTCGCATACTGCATTCCTTTTACTTGCCCAAGTGTAACAGTATGATGGTTATGTAAACTGATGCTTATATGGAGATGTTATTTTGACATACGTTTTGGTGCCATATGTAGACACCAGACAGGTATATAATCACCATTAGTACAAGTCTCAGATCCAATTAAGATGGCAAATGTTTGTGATGTATTTTTTTGACAAAACGGCAATGTGAATTTAAATTTTTGCATGACTGAAATACAGTTGGGAATTGAAAGTAGCATGCACAATTAAAAGTGAGGTAACAGTCGATTTGTTGCCTGACTCTACTAATGATTGCTTTAATATACCATTCACTTGTTAATGGTGCTATCAATTATTTTACTATAAATTAGCTGTTGTGAGTTTAAGGTCTTTTTGCAATGTCTGTGTTAGATTACAAGAGCATAAATCAAACTCCCATCTCTTTTACATCCATAGCCATAACATATGGCTTTTACTAGAAAATGTTAAGTGTCTTATAATGTCTTCTTAATGGACAGTGTGTGCACGTGTTGATGATGAAAGCCATCTTCCTTCATGCAAAATATTAATGCATATGGCCTACGTCTCCATAGATACAAATTAAAGAATCATATTTAACCCATGAAATATTCAGTATACACTTCAACTTTGCCCAGAATTCATATTTCTCTAGTTTAACAATCCTTTAAGGAAAGAACAAGTTAGAGATAAATCAGGGGTTGAATTCTACCAGGTATGCACATGTAATTGTGAATAATTGGTATAACATCCACTGAAAAAAAAAAAAAAAACCCAAAACATTAAATCCCAAATCACTTCATAAAATGCCTATTCCTAAATGAAAATACCAGTAGAGAATTAGAAAATTGAATTTATATCCTCCTAGAATACCAGCTTGTATATCACAAAGACTCTTAATATTGGCTATAGATTTTGTCCTCTGACCTCAAATACCATAATGCTTCCAAGCAAAAGGGTGTTTTAGCCGCTGTTTGTATCCTTTCCATTGGGACAGCATTATCCATTTGGCTTTTGGACCATTTCACAAAATCTTGGACAAAAACACTGCTTTGACTTGAAATGTGTTTTACCCACAGATTCCTGGGCACCAGAGAGATCTGCTGTTCAAATCAACGCCTGCTAACGCTGGGCTTGATTAAAGGAAGCTAACTAAGCCTTTTGAAGGATATCCTCCAGCCTTCCCTCTCCGTTTCCACGTTCCCTTGGCAGAAATCAGGGATGTGAAAGCTGCAATTTGACAGCATCGTCCTTTCATCTCGTGGTAAATATTTCATTATTCCTTTATCCTCTATGCTGTTTAAAGGAATTCATTTAAAATATTAACTTCTTTGTTCAGGGAGGAAGTCTCCAAAGGGGGTGCAAACAAGGATCTTTAGAAATGCACCAAGATATAACTCCAGGCTCTGCTCCAGCTTTCCCCGTTCATTCAGCCTGCAGACCTGGCAGCTGCCCGCTGGAGATCCCTGCTCAGAGCAGCAAGTCTCCAGCAGCTGCTGTTCCACCACCCATTCATACACGACCAGCTCCCCTGTCTCTGCTCCCTGCATCTCCACTTCTCTTTCCTCCATCCATCCAATTGCTCCCTAATCTGATCTCACTTCTTTGATCCTCCTCAGGAACACTGATCATCCTCCCACACCAAAGCACCACTCATCCCTATCGAGGGCTGGCAGCAATTATGCTGTAACAAAGGCACATTTAAGAGAGGAGTAAAACCTATCCAAACCAATTGCTTTGCGAAGGCTCTATCCTTCATCTGTTTGCTGGCTTATCAGTACGGGCGTCTTGGGGATTAATCCTGCTGCTGCTCCTGAAGCAGACGTTTTCTTTACTTTTGACTTCAGGAGCAGAATCAGGCCCTAATTAACATAATTATTTTCATATGTAATAGCCTGAAAGGTACCTACTCAGAGGAGTCGAGTGACTGTTTAAGACTATCCACAGCCTTGCCGTGAACTGCACCAGTGTGCATTCCCTTTCCAAAACAACCGCAAGCACCAGGAGGGGAGGAGTTGTCCTTCGGTAGCCAGGCAAGAAGCCTGCCAAACGCAGTGTCCCTTCTCCATGAATGAACCCTCTCCTCTGATTAACACTTTGCATTTCCCACAGGGGAGCAGGCAGAGTGAGGAGGTCAGCGGGGAACCGAAATACCCATTCTCAGAGAAGCACGATCGTAAATATTTAAGACAGTACGTAGGAGAACAGAGAAAGGAGCAGACTCTCCTTCCAGTCCAGGCTGAAAAAGTCTTCAGATCCCCTGGTCTCCCAGGGACTGCCTGCTCCCGTGATCCTTTCTCCATCTCGTAACAGGGAGAGAGCCATTAGCTCACAGGAGGGCTGGACAAGGTGTATCTCTCTACTGGGGGACGATTGACTGTGAAAACCTGTGCATGGAAGGAAATTACCTGGTATAATGCAGATCTCCCTGACCTGTGAATGGGACTTTGCCCCAGGCTATGGGTTTTTAGGAGCCTGTTAGAAAACGAGGGTCTCTGGAAGCCCATGTACGAGTACACGAGTTCACGCCTTGGTGTCCACTTGTGCCCCACGCATGGGGCCTGCTTCACAGCAGGGGTTATGTCCCCATAGCCCGGGCGTGACTTTTGTACGGCCACACGCATGGCTGCCTGCTCTGCTCTGACAGCGGAGAGGTAACCCTGATGGTGCTGGGAGGGAGGGGGACTGAAGGGAGGGTGCTGGTGGCATAGCTTACCCTTGCATATCTGGAGGAGTAGGGGTCCTCAAAGAGCGCCCAGATGCGGGGCTGCCACCGTCTCCAGAAGCCCCCAGACCTGCCATCTGGGGAGTCGCTAAGCGCCAGGCGTTTTGTCATCTCCAGCTCCTCCTCGCCGTCACCAGAGTCTCCGGTGCCATCTATGTCCCCGTCCTCG